TTTATATAATTATTAAAAAAAGGGTTTTTTAATTATATCTTTGTTAAATAAAACAAAAAAAATACACCAAAAAGTTATTTTATTATCTAAGTCTTCTAGCTTCTCTTTCAGCTTCAAGAAGGGTAAGAATATCTCCAACTCTAATTGGTCCTTTAACATTTCTTAAAATTTGTCTATTTTCTCCTATAATATCACATCTAACTTGTAATACACCTCCTCGTGAACCAGTACGACCGAGAATTTCAGTAACTTGAGCATAAATAACTGGGGTTTCGGCAACTTGGGTTGACATGAGTAGTTTGACAAAATTAAGTTCTTCTTTTTTTTTAATTTCTTTTTGAGAATTTTAAAAAATTTTAATAACTAGTAAGATATAAATGTATCTTCAAATCAATTTATATGAGTGAAGATAATAACGAAATCCCTTGTTATATTCCAAAAGATAAAAGAAAAATTCCAGAAAAAAGAAATCAATCCTCATTCGCTCCACCACCTAAACCGTGAATTATTACCAGTTGAATTTGATTGTAAATTAAATAAAGAAGAATTAGAACAAATTAAAGAACATTATAGAGGTAATAATAAAGAAAGTAATACAATTATCAAACCAAGTGAAAAATTTAAAGTTATGAAAATTAATGATTTGTTAATGACAAAAGAAGAAGAAGATACAACAACTGATCCAAATGATTTATATAATAATCCTATTGATTTTCAACCATTACTTGGTCGTGGGAATTGTGGTGGATTAGATAGGGTTGTTAACCCAAATAAAATTAATCAAGAAAAAGGAGAAAGTCACAATGGATTAAATACAATAAATAAAATTAAAACTAAACCACTTAATCAAATGAATGAAAATGATTGGAGAATTATAAGAGAAAATTTAAATATTTTTGTTAATAATAATGAGGTAATTAAACCATTAAGAAAATGGGATGATATGAATGTATGTGATGACTTATTACTACTTATTAAAAATACATATGAAAATCCAACTCCTATTCAATGTGCATCAATCCCAATTGCATTAAAAATGAGAGATTTAATCGCATTAGCAGAAACAGGTACTGGAAAGACTTTTGCTTATCTTATTCCACTTATTCAATTTGTTTTAAAACTTCCAAAATTAACAGAAGAGACTTCTGCAAGTGGGCCTTATGCTTTAGTCTTAGCCCCAACTAGAGAGCTTGCACTTCAAATACAAAAAGAAACACTTAAACTAGCAACACCATTTGGATTAAGGGTGTGTTGTTGTATTGGTGGAGAACCAATGCAACCCCAAATTGAAGAATTGTCTAATGGAGCTGAAATTGTTGTAGCCGCACCTGGAAGACTAAAAGACTTACTGAACCAATCATATTTAGTTTTAGGTCAATGTTATTTTGTTGTTTTAGATGAAGCTGATAAAATGATTGATTTAGGTCTTGATGTTCAAGTGAGATATATTTTTTCAGAACTTCCTTCTGTAAAAGATGGTTCAACAGAAGAAATTATTTCTATGGAAAAAGAAAATGCCAGTGGCAATCCATCAACAAGAACAACTCTCATGTATTCTGCTACAATGCCAAGCACTCTTGAAAAAATAACCAATGAATATTTAAGAAGACCAATCACAATTTCTATTGGAAAAACAGGAAATGTTGCAGAGAATGTCAAGCAAAATGTCATATGGGTTGAAGATAATATGAAGAAAAGAAAGTTAATTCAAGTCATTAAATCAAGTTCACCTCCAACAATAGTTTTTGTTAATCAACAAAAAACTGTTGAAGAAATATGTCTATTATTAGAAAAAGAAAAAATAAATTGTGTTGGAATCCATGGTGGAAAAAGGCAAATAGAACGAACTGATGCATTAGATGGATTTAAAAGAAAGAAATATTCAGTTATGGTTGCAACAAATATTCTATCACGTGGAATTGATATTGAAAGTGTGGCAAATGTCATAAACTATGAAATGCCACAAAAAATTGAAGAATATACACATAGAGTTGGAAGAACTGGAAGAGCAGGAAAAGGTGGAAATGCAATCACCTTTATAAATGAAAATGATGGAAAGGAAGTTTTAAATCAACTTAGACAAATTTTAGTTCAAAGTAGAAATTCAATTCCTAAAGAACTTGACTCTTTCTTAAAAAAGAATGAAATAATTTATTAATAAAACTAATCTTTCCTTTTTTCAAGATTTATGGAGAATGACTTTTTTCAAAATAATAGATTTTATTAAATATATTATAAATATAGTTAAAAATAATTACTTACAAAAACTAAAAAACAATCATAGAATATATGGCTTTAGAAACACAAGAGAAAAAACTAATCCTCAAATCTCAATTAGCAGAAATCCAACAAGCATTTTTAGAAGATAAAAAAAGAATAGAATATAAAACAAAATGCTTACAAAACGAAACTGAATTAAAATTAACAGATTTGAAGAATGAGATTATGTACTGGAACAAAAAACGACTTGAAGAGTTACAAGATAGAAAAGAATCTATAGAACAAGAAATCTCAAAGTATATGGCTAATTTATCAATAGATAACCAAAATTCTACAGAAAATCTATGTACTTATTATATAAATGATAGAAACAGTAAAATTGAAAATTTTATTAAAGAAAAAGATTCGATCAAAATAATATTTGAAGACACTGAATATGTTGTTGAAACAAGTATTATTGAACAAATTCCTTTTCTTGCTCATTTGGCAAGTGAGTCATCTGATGAAAATGAATTGTATATATTTAGAAGTGGAAAATATTTTAATTATATCAAAGAGTATGTTTTATCTAAACAATTAATAATTAATGAAACTACAACACAAGCTGAGCTCAAAAAAATTGCAAAAGAATTTGAGTTTTATGAACTTCCATGGAAACAAATTAATGAACTTATTTCTTGTATCTATACTATTCAAAATATCTCAACTCATGGAATTAACTATACTATTAAAGGTAATGTAATCCATCCAACAAATAATGGATGTTCATTTATTCAATTTGATAAAGACATTATAGGTATTAAGGTGAAAGTATTAAACATTGGTAATTACATTGACTCTTCTTGTTTCTCAATTGGATATTGTCCTTTTATAACTAAAATACCACACTTAGGACATGATGGCTATTTTCTTAAAAAGAACGGAGAAATTAAAACTTCTCTTAATGGAGTTTCATCTTCCTTTAATTTTTGTTACGAAATAGAAACAAATGATTCTATCAAATGCGTTTTAAATGACATGGAAAGAATGTTATTCTTTCAAATTAATGAAAATGGGTCTTCAATAGAGTTTGTAGATACAAATATTAAATTGTATCCAACAATTATTATGAATGGTATTGATCAACAAATAGAAGTTGAAACAATTTACACTCCAATTCTTTAATCCATTCTTGATTTATGTTACTTATTTTTTATTAGTTTTATTAAAATAGTAGAAATATTATAAATTATATCAAAAATAAATAATAAATAAGTGGTAAAAATTGAAAAAAGAAAATAAGTAAAAACCCTTTTTTCACTAAAAAGTCATATTTTATCACGTATGGGAATTGAACCAGCATTAGAGGCTATTGCTAGAAAATACAATTGTGATAAAATGATTTGCAGAAGATGTTATGCTAGACTTCCACTTAGAGCTACCACTTGTAGAAAGAAGAAATGTGGACATTCTGGAGACCTTAGACCAAAGAAGAAGATCCAATCAAAGAAATAAATTTGTTCCAGTCATTATCATTATGGAATGGTTTTTATGATATTCTTTTTTTGTTTCTTCTTTTTTCTTTTCTTATTATAAATCTTAATAATACTACTACTTATCTTTTGTTTTATGAGTAAACAACAATTAAATTTATTAAGGCAATATCCTACATACAAAAAATTATATGCAATGCAAGAAAAAATAGACCAAATGGAAAATGGTGAAGTTCCTTTCAATGACATTTGTTCTAGTGTTGATTCCTTTTTTGAAAAAGGAGTGATTATAAAAAGTATTATACAAATAGAACATCCAGCAGAGGCAGCTATGAAAGGAGGTAAAAATTTAGATCATCCTAAACCAATACTCAATGACGATGTTGATTTGCTTTGGAATTCAATGAAAAAAGGAAACGTTTTAGAGCTAGATGAACATCAAAGTTCAAAGAAAAAAGACGAAGACATTTATATCAAAAATGACAACTTTCCACCAATTGATAAAGAAAGAGTAAATGAAGAGATTACAAAACTAATAATCCCTTCAGCAATTCATTTTAATCCTCATGTCCTTGAAGTTTGTAATACATTTAAACAAAAGATTTTTACAACAAATGATTTAGCTGATGCAGTTCTTTCAGTACTTGGACATTGATTTATATATAACTGACTGTTCATTACTTTTAAGGTTTTTTCTTTATTAATTTTTTAAGAAGGGACAAAGAGAGAAATGACAATTACAAACACGATGAAAAAAGCAAAAGAAGAGTAAAATCGATTAGAAAAACCCTTCTCTCAGATTTTAGTCAAGATTTAATGATGAAATAAACTATTTTTAATAAGAAAATAAGAAATAATAAAAAAAAATAATAAAGGAAAAACAGAAGAAGAAAAAAGAATAATTAGATGATGAAAAAAAAAAAGAATCTTTGCAGAACTGAATAATCCAAAAATTATGTCAGTTGATTTAAGACAAATCTTATCTGATTTGGCTAATAGTAAAAAGCTCATTGAAGGTACTCTTTCAAAACTTAGACTTGCTTCAAAAAATGGTGATGCTAAATTGTACAAACAAAAACAAACTGAACTAAAAAATGAAATGGAACAATTCCAATCCATCCTTGAACGTGCAAGTAGTGTTTCTGAAGATGTCATTGAAGACTATCCAGAACTTAATTACAACGCCAAAGTTGCTCAATACTTTTCATTTACTTCAAATATCCAAAATAATATTGCTCCTCCACCTCAACAACAATCAATTGGTAATGGTGAAAATGAACCATTAATTGGTTATGATGATGAAGCTCGTTTACAAGACCAAAGTAATTTAGTAACTGAAATGTATGCTGATAATACTCAAGAAATTAGTGATATTGTAACCAAAATGAAAGATTTAAATGTTGGATTTACTAAATTACATTCATTAACAGAAGTACAACAAGCTCAAATTGATAACATAGAAGCAAATGTTCTTACTACTGATGAAAAAGTTGCTGATGGTGTTGATGAAATAAGTCAAGCACAAGTTTATCAAAAGAAAGCTAGTAAAAAATTATGGATTATCCTTTGTATTGCAGGAGGAATTGTTATTGTTCTTGGAGCAATTGTAACTCTTGTATGCATCCTTAAATTCTCTGGAAAGAAAAATGATTAAAACAATGTTTTTTGGATGAACTTAAATTTATATTTTATAATATAAACATAAAACAAAAATAATAAAAAGCAATGAAAGAATTAAATGATATCTTCAAAGTGTTTATCAGTTCTAATTACTGTTTGTTTATAATTTTTTCCTAAAGTTGATTGAACAAATTTAACAGTATCAGATAATATCGTTTCATTTGTTTGAATTTGTTGTAACTGATTTAATTTTATTTGGTGTTCTTGTTTAGTTAAAAGAATAAATTCAGATGCATGCATCTCAACAAAATAAGGTACTTTTGGTAAACAACATAGTCTTAATTTCTCTAAATCAGTTGGAAGTTCATTAACAATATTTGATAGCATTGTCATGTTAATTATTGACTCTGGACTTTCATCTTCAATTCTTGCTATTTTATCTCTTAATAAATAAAGTTTTTTAAATGTATCAAATTGAGTCTTTTTAATCCAACTTCTTCTTGCTACTCGTTCTATAACATCATCTGAACAAACTGTAGGTCTAAATAGACGAAGACATAGTTCATTTGATTTATTTAACACTTCTTCTAATACACCTGCATCAATACATTCATTTCTTAATTGATCAATAATATAAAGAAGATAATGCGTATCTCCTCTTGCATATTCAATCATTTCTTTTGTTAATGGACGTAATCTCCAATCAGCTAATTGATATTTCTTATCAGCATCTACATTACAGTATTTTTGTAAAAGATATTTTAATGAAAAATGTTGTAATTTTAATGCTCGTGCACATTGACCTGAATCAATACAATTTACAACATATAGACCAAAGTTATATGATAACCAAATCATATCAAAATCACATCCATGAAATACTTTCTCAATATTTGGGTTTGTAAAAGGATCATTTAATAATGTTATTGAATCTCTTAATGTAATTGTATCAATAATATAATCACTTGATCGTGTACTAATTTGTAATAAACATACAAACCCATAATAAGAATGTTCACTATGGTGTTCTACATCAACAGCAAATTGATTGACATGATTTAATGATATAATCATTTCTTGAAGAAGTTCTAATGTGTTAACATAAATCAATGGTGTTTTCTCAAATGATAAAGGAGGTTGTGGAGTACATTTTTCTAATTGCCAACTCATTTGTTTTAATTCATGAATTTCATTAATATAAGGATGAGGCTGTGCATCAACAGGATATTTTGAATGATATTTTTTAATACATTTTGGTTTATATTCAACACTAAAATTATCTGGTTTATCAGTAAAATTTAATTGTGGTTTGTTTATAACTAGTGGCTTATCATCAAACTGATTTTTTGTTAATTCTAAGGTTTCTTCTATCTCAACAGCTTCAAGTAAAAAATCAACTACATGAGTCACAACATCAATATCATTTGGACGTTCTTTCTCATTATTAGTTAGTTTACTATGAAGTTTAGGATGAATGTCATTAAACATTTTTAATGTTTGATTAATTTCATTTAGTGCAATGTCAACAGATTGACTAAATTCTTTATATGACATCATTTCAATATATCTATTTCCTGTTGCAAATGACTTTGTTGAACGAGCAGTCTCAACAGCATATTTTTTAATACTTTCACAAAATGAATCAACAATTTCTGATTGTTTTTTCATTGGCTTATTTTATGTTTTATTAGTTTTTTTTAATTAAAACCCTTGTTTGCGTTATAAAAATTTGATTTTAATAACAAAAATCAATTAA